TGCTCTTGCCAATAATGCCGAAGGGAGGCAGGGGCTGCAGCTGCAGCTCCTGCTCGTGCTCTTGCCAATAATGCCGAAGGGAGGCAGGGGATGCAGCTGCAGCTCCTGCTCGTGCTCTCGCCAATAATGCCGCAGGGAGGCAGGGGCTGCAGCTGCAGCTCCTGCTCGAGCTGGCGTGGGAACAGGYCAGAAATAGCCTGTTCCGAAACCCAGTTTTCRTGCCTGAATCTTAGGGCAGGTCGAAACAAATGAGGGCCTAAAAATAGCCCAGGGCCTAAGAATAGCCCTCCGTTTCAGGCTGGAAAAACTCTGGGTCTGAAAGACCCAGAAATAGGCTGAAACGGAGTAGGGCCTGCAGGCCCTCGTTTTTCAGTTTTCAGGCTGAATCAACCGGGGCCTGTAGATCCTAAGTTTTAGGCTTTTAGGCTGAATGTCCGGGACGGGTCCTACAGGGCCGGTGTGGCCACGCAGTATGCCACAAATTGTAAGGCTATGTTCTTCCCTCGAGATTTGGGATTACAGATTTACTAACTCGATCAAATGAGTATTGGCTCATTCTGTCCTTCAGGACATCTTTTAAAATTGGAACGATACAGAGAAGATCAGCATGGCCCCTGCGCAAGGATGGCACATTTAAAAAAATTGAAAGTATTGGCTCATTCCTTGACTGCTCAATTCTGTTTCCTTGAAACCTTGAGTTTCAGAGCCCCTGAAATGCTGGCTTGGGTTAGCAGTTGGATGGGTGCTAGTTTGGCCCATGTCTCCCCGCCATGAGTAGATTTGGTATCTTCATACCTCGAGCCGTTCTCCTGCCAAAAGTGCAGACATCAAGTAGGAGTCTATATGACATGTTCTTTGAGCCAGAAACTGCATTACTGGTTTTACTGCAGCAAGATGAGGAGGCAATGATGTACAGTTAAATATGCCGGCTGTGATAATCTACCAGCACCCTATGAATCCCCCTGTTGAGTGTGTATTTGCCAGCCTCATAAACTCAGGGGGCTCTGCACAAAATGTGCCTCTTGGATAAAAATTCCGGCAGGCCTTTCTGTTTCAGCAGGTTTTCGGGGTGGCGAGCTCGTGACAAGGCTGACCGCTTTAGGTACTGGTGTTTGCACTCTTGTGACTTTTTAAGTTTTAACACTATGACGGACATGTAGGGAGTCCGAGTCATGAAATTGCTGATTAAAATCAGAGCTTCACCTCTTAGCAGCCATATCCGTCCATTGGAGTGTTCTTCTAAAGCCTGCTGACTATTCATCATGGTCGAAATGACGTTTTCAGGTTCATCTTTTGGAAGTGATATGGAGTGTTCTTCAAACGCTGCCGACTATTCATCATGGTTGAAATCACATTTTAAGGCCCTACGATCTCTGATTGTGTGCTTGGTTTCCTGCTTAGGAGGCTAATGCAGAGCAGGTGTTTTGTACTGTCCCTTAGACTGTGTACTTTACCAAAGCAGCTTTTTTTTCCTTTTTTTTTCAGATCCTCTTGGTTCTGGCTCCTACCATTCTGGGGAGCAACAGTCCGGTTCCTATTCCCCCGGCAACTCAATGGAAAGTACAAAGTTGACTCATCCCACGCTCCTCCCCATTATGGTTGGAAGGCCCGAGTGGACGGCATTGATTACTTCCAGAAGGAAGGATGTACCACCCCTCAGCCCTGCCTAAGTTAGCCTATTGTAGCTAGTCCTCTGTATGGCAGCTTACGAGACATCCGGATGGATAGTAGTTTTGGAGCACTGTTTCCGTCCCATTGAAGATGTGGACCAGCAACAGCGGATATGAATTTGGCTGTGCATTTGTCTTGTTACGATCCTGAGTATCTTGCAGTGCAATAACTCATAAGAAAGACAATGCAATTGTATTGCAACTGAAATGAAAGAATTTGGGAAGAGAAATAGACAAAGGATGAAGAAGAAATACAAAGGGAAGAAGAAGAAGAAGATCTACACCAGCAAGTACCAATGTCAAATCCCCCTTCACCTCGCCACCATCTCCAACCTCCTTTTACTCCCCCCAACTTTCGTCTAATAATAACAAAGAAAGAGTGAACCAGAACCAATGTCCGAATCCTCCCCTTGTTGCCACACTGAAGAGCTCCACCATAACTGTCTCATACACCTTCGTCATCCTTAGTCAAGTAGGTACCTATGGCGGACTTACAGAGCACAGCTCCGATGTTCGAAGGACAAAGCAAAGCCCACGTGTCCCTTCGACCATGGCCGCCATGCCTCACTACCCCGAAGTCTTCCTTGTAGAAGCCAACCCCAACTGGGGCCTTTCAGGTGCAGCGCCAACCAAGAAGATGAAGATGCAGACCACCATGGCCAGGTAAGCACCCCTGTCACTCTCCTCCTTGCTCACCGTCTTCCTCCTCCTATTCCTTCCCCAGAGTTTCCTCCTTGGTCCTCTCCACCATACCCAAGGTGGAGGGCCAAGCCCCCCTTCTTCGTCCCTAGCGCTGCTACACTGAGCGCTCGCTCTGCCAGCATGACACCCAACCTTGCACACTGCAAATGAGGAAAAGCTCTTTGCTCTTCCCGAGGACATATCGGTCTACTGCGTCTTCGAGCGGTGACTTCCCAGGCCGCGCGGCCTCCCAAGCTACCGCGACCTTTCGTGTTTCGGAGGGAAACATCATTGCAGTCTGATATCCCACACTGCAGGCCCTAGACTTAGGCAACTGGACCGGTACCTCTAGACTCCTAACGGACTCTAACATTCATTTGGCCTCTAAAGCTACTACCTTTTTGTCTTCTTCTGCCTACCTGCTACTTGAGTGTTTTCCATCCTACGCGGGCCTAGTCTAGTACTAAGTTCCTTCTGCATCTCCACAAAAGCACGGCCACTGGTAAGTACCAGCCCCGAGGGCGTTTCCAGTGTAGAAGTACCCTGGTGGGTAACACACACACCTAAGCAATCATGCAGTCAGAAAAACACACAGAAATGCAGCAGTCATGCGTTCACACATACTTCAAAATCTCAGCAAATGCTGGAATCTGAGCAAGTCACACAGTCCAGCGGCAAAACTCAGAAAACAGCAGAGTTCTCAGTCTGTGATTTTGCAGGTCATTACAGTCCCCTTTTCCTTGAACATCATGGCTACATTTTGAGCTATTCCGTGGCTGTTGACATGGAGTGGATAATATAGTCAAGTGGGTGAACCTTGGAAACTAACGAAAGAGAAGCAAGCACATATCAGAGGCAAATGGGTAACGGCAAGGAGGGCAAGGATATAGTAAAAGGACACTGGGACGCATGAAGGACATTGGACTGAGTGTGATGTGATGCAGGCCTGGTGGAAGGCACCTACGTTGTTGGAGGGCATCTGACAAACATCATGAATAACTAACGTGGAACATGCATTATGCATATCAGTGAGACTTGGTTGCTGGGTTCGTGAACTTCTGAGCTCCAGTTGGCTTGTCTGAACTGGGGAGACCTGGTCATCTGAGAGGCTATACAATTCTTCAGCTTTTGGATTATGGTTGCTTCAGTCTGGGAATCCTTTGGTATTGTGTTTCACTATTTGTATGTGTACCTCAGTCCCCTTCTCTGAACAGGAGTTGTCTGAGATTCAATGAAATTGATGTGTTTCAGCACTGAGACACAGTTCAATAGCTAGCGAGAAGTTAAATGACCAATGAAACTGGTGGTCAAATGGATGATCGTCAAGCTGTGCCCTGGTGTGGCTTCCACACGATTGTCACAAGCTTAGGGGAATGATCACTCTGTATGATTGTGCTGGTTTTTGCACTTCGTCTTACCCTTGTTGTGTATGTCTGAAACCAGGCACAAAATAAGCTGGCTACCTATCAGAAGGCTTCTCTAGATGGTGAGGGTATTGAAGGAGATGATGAAGGAGAGGAAGAGGATGAAGATGAAGATAATGAAACAGATGATGAAGCGCTGGTGGATTCACAGGTCGTTCCCTCAGATGCTGGTGATGAGGTAAGGTTCTCTCTGAAGAAATCCATGTTGGATGAATGTTACCATAGTTTGACCTTTAGTCTGTTTTGGAGAGGTTGGCAGGATTCGTACTCACACTAAGACCGTTTTAACTGAAAAGTCCTATTGTGAGTGTGCCTTGCTACCGTGTCCTGTGAGGTAGGCAGATCAAATAATTTTGTTTCACCTGTAGCACGATGGCTGCTGGGAAACCGTGCAGACGAAGGAGCACAAAGGCATCAAACTGATACAGGGTAGGCAATACCATTAGGTGGAGTTAAGGGCGCAAGAAGACACGGCAATGAAGGAAGCACAAATGGATGTTGAGGTCATTTGCAAATTGCCGAAGTGCAAAATGTTGAACTGAGTTCAACCCTCAACTACAATGTGTCTGATCAGCATAGAAGTTCGCATCACCTACTTGGAATAACTTCAAATAAAAGTTATATTAAATTATTAATAGAACTTGGAATCAACATAACGAGAAAAACAAAGAAAGTCAAAGGGCTGTCTTCCCCCACAGACAACGAATCGTCGTCATGACTATCGAGCCAGGAAGAGAGCATTTATACATTCATGATGAGTGTAGATTCTGTAGAACCAATGTCTGGACAGGCTGGACAAGCTGGACAGGCTCCAATATCTGGACCAATGCTTCAATTTGCTTAGGAGCTGGTCAACCACCAATTCCTTGTGTGTGTGTGTGTGTGTGTGTGTGTGTGTGTGTGTGTGTGTGTGTGTGTGTGTGT